GTTTTTAAGTAAATAATACTTTATTTTTGGCAACAGCTGGCAGGCCCAGAGGTTAGCGTGGTAACGAGAAAAAAGTTGCGTTGATGAAAGTGAATTTTAATGCAGACCTGCTGGCGATCGAACAAAGCGACACAGGAATATTAAATATGTCTAAATAAACCTTGATTAAAGCAGAGCAGCTTCTCCAAACAGCTGGCTAAATAAACCTTGATTAAAGCAGAGCATCTTCTCCAAACAGCTGCGTAAAAGTTTGTCCGGACCACTGAGTGGTCACAGGGCTCGGAGCGGCACGTGACGGTTGCTAAACTACAATGAAAGAAAGAGAGGAAAACAACCAGAGTGAGTCAGAAAAGCCAGGTGGATCTATGGAGATCATTACTCATCGCAGCATCAGCCTGCTGCGACATGAACCCAAATATTTTCTTTCAGCTCCGGCCGTGGAGGTGGGTGAACATGACAGATGTGTGTTTGCTCGCTAATGTGACCCTCTGCGCTAACTGGTGCTAATTCTTCCTTCTGTGTGGTTGCTGGCCTTCTCGTGCCACTCCCACACTGACAGGTTTATGGCCCGAGGCTGCTGATGAATGTCACCTGTGGCTCAGGAACACTGATGTTGACTTTGACTTTGACTACATTACAAGTTTGCAGATGAACGTCTGCTTTCTGCTTTTTACAAGTTTGCAGATGAACGTCTGCTTTATGTTGGATATTCACCTGTACAATGTGATTTTTTTTTTGCCCTGTTCTTATTTTACTCAAAATAATCAGATTCAAAGATGTAGTTCCACTGCCAGCCACCGGGACGAAGCGGCATTACCTTTTTGTTGCAACGCAGAAACAAGCCAGAAAATCCTCCTGTCTCTATGATGTGTATCCTTCTCGGAAACAATTACTGCAGACTGTTTTGGTGTGTGTTTTCCTATTATTACTTATGAAATTAATCCAGAGGAAATGATGTTGTTGCTAATCTCCGTCTTTGTGTGTGTGTGTGTGTGTGCAGGGCGATGGGGGGCTGTGGAATGATTGCACCTCTGCTGCCTGACTACTACCAGCTCAGGCAGGTCTCAACTGGATGAGTCTTCCACCTTCGTGGGCTTGTCAAGTCAAAACAGCTGACATCATTCCACAGGAGGCTGGGAAGACTTATTCCGAGGTTAGGAAAATATGCTTTGATCCGAGTGGGGCCAGGATAAGGTTTTGGCAAAAAAAGAAAGAAAAAAAAATCTTCCTGAAATTTGAGTGCTTACTGTGCTGCGTACTGCTGGGATCTCTGAGAATATGTCCTGTGATGTGATGGTTCAAACCATGGGGTCAGTGGTGGATTGTGGGAATTGTCCAACAACAATGATAAGGAAACTTTTTTTTTTCTATTTTAATTAAACGCAGCTCATTCTAAACAACTATAAATATTTTTTTTCAGTCATCCTGTGACATTTAATTCATTTAAAAGTATAAATTCAATTGGGTAAAAAAGCTGTCACGGGTGACGCACCTCCCTCCCCCCAGCCCCCCACCTTGGCTGGAAAACAAGCCCTCTGCCCTGGCTCAACAGTTCCAGCAGCCTGGCTGACTCACTGAGGAAAGAATGGCCATTGGACCAGGCTGGGGTCTGCGACCCAAATGTTTTGTTTTTTTTTTGCTTGGGTTTTTAATTTAAAAAAAAAATCTTATTGTAGTTTAATATGGTTTAAAATATTTTTACTACCCAGCAAAAATACAACATATAGTACTATATAGTACAGTAGTGATAAAGTTTTACCTTCATAAAACAAAAATACTACAACTACAGTATATATATATATATATATGGTAAATATTTGACAAGAAACACAGAGCCCTCCCATCTTACAACTCCCAGCATCAGTGAAAGTCACTATTACAAGTAACCAGACCACCACCTTGTGGTCATCAGGGTGAACTGCAACTGCCACCTAAAACTTAAATTAAAATGAGAATCCATGCTTTTTCCTAGAGGGCGTTCGTTGTAAACAATTTTCCAACTTTATTAAACCAACTTCAAATTTAAGAAGTAAAGACAATAAGTGGTAGTTAAAAATGTGCACACTGGAGAGAAAAGCAACAACAACCAGCAACGCCAGTGCATTCAAATGTCTCTTATTGCCGCTGAATCCAGGGTCCACAGCCAATAGGGTGGCTTTCGTTGGTCCGTAAGTGTGACTGCTACGTAAGTGCACGATGTTAGCCACATCAGGAATCATCCGCAACATTAATGATCCCAGGTTTGAGGTCAAAGTTCTCCGTGAGGATTGTTGGTCTCCTCCACTACTTCAGCATCCTCTGGTGTTTCTGAAAAAAAAAAAAAAAGTAATAATAACGAATAATTCAATTATTCACGTGGACATTAACACACTTTGAATTTACGATCAATCAACTCACCTGGTTGTGGGATTTGAACACACTCGTCGTCCTTTTCCTCGTAGCCAGGTAAACAGATACAAACGTAGCTGCCTTTAGTGTTAACACACTCCTGGTGCTCCTTCGTACACACCGACTCCGACTGGGAACACTCGTCGATATCTGAGGAAAAAAAGAAAAGCGTAATAATAAGGTTAAAAGCTCTGGCTTCAATGTTTAAGATTTAATGTGGGGTTTTTTCCCCAGGTTATTTAAGCACCTTCAATAACACCATCATAATTCTCCACATTTAAATACATAAAAAACCACGTTGTACAAGTAGACTTGAAGTTGCATAGATTTTCAATGTGCACTTAGCACCACCTTCGGGCCAAATACGGGAGCTACATGTTTAATGTCGAAAAACGGATTCCAAAAACTTGTTTTCTAACTACATCATCTCCAGTTTTACAAAAATGTGAATTTAGAAAATCTTGATTTTAAGTTTTTAAAATGTACAGACCAAAAAGAAAATCTAAATGCTTGAGCTCACAACCTTTGATTAAATTCATATTTTTGACATAGAACATAGATCTACACCTTGGTACGTAACACTGAAACTTCTATGTGTACTATGTTTGTACAAGTAGACTTGAAGTTGCATAGGTTTTCAATGTGCACTTAGCACCACCTGCGGGCCAAATATGGGAGCTACATGTTTAATGTTTTAAACGGATTTCAAAATTTGTTTTCTAACTAACTAAGCAAACAAATCAATAAAGTAATAATTCAGCTAACTACAGCATCTCCAGTTTTACAAAAATTACTCACAAATACTCACAACCTTTGATTAAATTCATATCTTGGACATTGGTACGTAACATTGAAACTTCTATATGTAACAGTCACTTGTTATTTTTAGACACACTCAAAACACCCGTGGTTCATGCATCACTACCTACCTGTGCAGCTGCCCTCCGCCTCCTGGTAACCACTGGCACAAGCCTTGCACTTATCAGCGCCTGCTCCGGTGCAGCCAGAGCAAACTCTGTCACAAGCTGTGGAGGATATGGAGAAAATATTATTGATGTTCATTTTCAAAACTTTACAATTTACCGTCGTTTAAGAACTATTAAAAACAAGAAATAATTAACCCGAGGTTGTCTTACTCTTGCAGGAGTAGGAGCCGTCTGTGTTGATGCAGAACTGATCTTCATTACACGGCGATGGGTCCTTGGAGCACTCGTCTACGTCTGCAGACAACCACACATAACAGTACGTTCAACCGTCATCTTTACTTTAATTTCTTCTTCACGCTCATTAGTGCATTTGTTTAAATAAAATGGCAGTAAATATTTGATTTTTTTTTAGGTATTATCGTGTAGTTCAACTTAGTATCGTGTACCAGTATCGTTACTTTATTTGAACATTTCCGGTGCTCGTACCGACACAAGCTTCCTGGTCGTCCTCCTCCCAGCCCTCTTTGCACTCATCGCAATCCTGATTGGTTGCTCCGGAGCAGGTCTTGCAAGACGAGTGACATTCTGTAGGAAGACACGAGGACAACGTTCAGGGAGTGTCTGTGAGTCCTCAGGCGTACGCCAGGGCGCGCTCACGCTGAAGTAACTAAAACGTACTGTATTTGAAGTCTATCGCTGCAGCGACCCCAACAGGCCTAATTTAGCCATGGGCCATTAAGATTCCCAGCTTATCACATAATTGTGCATATAATAGCATATTATAACTAAGCTAACTTAGCTTAGCAGTGGCGATAAAATATTCACGGCCGGTCACTTAAATTCACTTTAAAACAAATATTATATAAAAAATAGATTCAATATTTTTTAGATATTTACTGAATTTGATTGGTTTTAAATGAATAAATAGAATGATAATAATAGGCAAATGTTTCTTTCCTGAATGTAGAATCTGTGATCATTTGTACCTGTGCAAAGTGAAAAGGTTTCATTCCTGACTTCATTGAAGTAGCCGTCCCTGCAGTCCAGGCAGAACTCCCCCTTATAACCGTTATCACAGCTGCATTTCCCGGTCCCTCCTCGGGTTCCTTCACCATCACACTGCCCGTTTCCGTGACACCGGTAGCACAGCTGCATTTCCCGGTCCCTCCTCGGGGTCCTTCACCATCACACTGCCCGTTTCCGTGACACGGATTCTCAGAACCCCCCACACAGGCTTGACAGAAAACCAAAAAAAATTAATTTGTGTTTTTATAATATTCTTTTAGAAATCATGGTATTTATTTTCCAGAATTATCTTGTTGAGAACAAAACTGCTGCCTCACCATTGCAGTCTGGTCCAAAAGTTCCCTTTGGACAGCACACTTTGATGCTTTCAATGCAGAACCACTTATGCAAATCAGGGTGTTTTGTTTTCCTGTAATGTAACAAAAAAAATAATAAAAATAAAAGAGTTAGATCGACTTTCCCATCAAACAGACATAAAGATAATAAAAAGGCGTCCGCCTGACAGTGTTTATAAAACTAAGCAAACAAATCAATAAAGTAATAATTCAGCTATCGCCCAGCGGTGCTACGGTGTTATTGCAGTTTCAAACACAGAGTGCGATAAGATAAGATCCCTTTACTGTCAAAATAATACAATAAAAACTCCAGTAGTTTCACAGAATAGAACATCACAGATCTGCTGCAGTAAAACTACAATAAAGAGACCAATCTGTGCACGTAATGACATGATAATCGATGAATCCATGAGAGTCAGAATAACATGCTGATATCATAACTCACTTCTTGAACCACCAGGTCTCAAATTTGTCCTCGTGTTCTTCCAACATGTGGTTACAGTCGAAGCTGCTGCTGTCACACAGGTCCTCTATAATCTCCATCAGACGAATCTCACTGCAAACAGACAAGACGGGTGACGTCGAGGACGTTACAGTCGGCATCATCAGTAGTTTAAGACATTTTTTTAATGTTCCTCCTGGTGGTCATGTTTTGCATTGAGGAAACATCTGTCCCTCAGGGTTGGACAGTAGACGTGTCACAGCTCCACTGCACACAGTGATGTTCCAAACCGCAAAAAAAAAACCCATCTGTTTTGTAGACTTAGACTTTCTTTATGGCCACTGCACAGAAATATAAAAAAAAACAGTGAGTCTGGCAACAAAATGATGTTGCTTAGCAACCGGAGTACACAGTTTACCCAAGTACAAAGGTTGTAGGCCATGACTAATTACTATATACATGTCTATATATATACAGTATATATATATATATATATATATACACAGTAGGTAGTGCATATGTATATATACATGTGGTGCAATAATGTAATAACATTTGCAGTAACATCATTTAGTGAAAGTCATTGTGAAATGAAAAATTATATGTCCAAAAGCTGAGTAACCGGTTACTTTGGCAAAAGCCAGTCTGACCATGTTGACATGTGTCAGTCAGTGGCAGTGTGACCTGCAGTAAGAAAAGAACAGGTTGGACCCTCTCACCTCGTCTCATATTTGGACAGTGTTCTCTCCTCCCAGGCTGTGTTACCTCCACCAAAGTTCTGCTTTGCTGTCCTTTCAAACCCCTAAAACAAAATTCAGTTGTTGATGTGCGAAGGAATTAAAAGTGAGACTGTCATGTCACAGAAGTGTATGACAACAAACGTGAACACACCGAGCTTGACTTACCTTGTTGAAGTTTTCAGTAATTTGCTTGCAAGTGTAACATGATGTTTTTGAATCTTTTTTGGCATAGCAGACTTGTAAAAATAAAACAAGCGTTAGACAAGACAACAGTCTAATCAATCGTAGCATTGAGCCTGTGAGCAGCATGTTCTACCAATTACTCTCGACCCAATATCAGGACGCACACACTAAATGGTTCGGACTCATCTACAAAATCGACACTTAGCATTTAATCTTGCTAAGTGTTATCTATGCAAAACAAATAAGAGTAGTATTTACATGCCGGTTGGCTAACAAAAAAAGCCCAACCGACTACTGTTTTCCGCGTCAGCTTCTGTTTCGAATTGTGGCTTGTGCGGATTAGTCAGGACCCTCTGTCAATCACATTTTAACCCAATCGAACACCGCCACGCGCGGGACAAAGAGCTTAGTCTGCACGTGGAAAATCTGGAAAAGTGAACATGTTAATTGTATAAGTAACTGATATTTTTATAAAATACTCATTTAATTAAAACGTTGAATAAAATAATAGAAATTGTTTATTTTATATGAAAAATATCGCTTGATTCACTTCCTGTTTTGACCGGAAGTGACACAACCTTTCTAGCTGTCATGGCGGAAAAGAGAGTTGTTTGGAGGCTTCCTCTGTTTTTGTTATTATTTTCAGTGGCTCTCTTGCATTTATTTGTATGTCCATTTACAAAGGTTGAAGAAAGCTTTAATTTGCAAGCAGTGCACGATATTTTGTATCACAGACTTGACATTGACAAGGTAAGAACGAGTCCAAGAGGATAAAGGTGCAGGGAAGATGCTAATTGTTTAGAACCCCAGTCTGTAACTTAATGTTTAATTACTTTTTTGAAATCGCTATATTCATACTTTACATCCAATGTACACAAGGGAAATCGCCTGATTATATTCTATAGCTCACAAACATTATCTGAAGACTTATTATAATTGCCCCTTTTATTCAGTGTTAATATTTAAAAATGTTTTGCTCCTCTTTTAGTACGACCACCATGAATTCCCTGGTGTGGTGCCAAGGACGTTTATTGGCCCTCTATTTCTCTCAATTTTCTCCTCCCCCGTTGTGTTTCTATCACTCCAGCTGGATATTCCAAAATTCTACACACAGCTCATAGGTAAACACGAGCATCACATTTTATTTTATTTACTTTTCATTTAATATCAATGTATAGTGGATGGATGGACAAATTGATTGATGGTGAATTGTGGTGTTTTGTGCAGTCCGTGCCTCCCTGGGATTTTGTGTTGTTGGTGCATTATGGCACATGCAAAAAGAGGTGAAGAGGCAGTTTGGTTCAACAGTCGCAGGACTCTTCTGTTTGATGTGTGTGTCACAGTTTCACCTGATGTTCTACAGCACCAGGACTCTCCCGAATGTATTTGCTCTACCACTAGGTACATTGCGTTTCATATGTTGACTACAAGCCTATATATTTGACTTTTACTTTGAGTAATATTTTACCTGTTAATTCTGTTCCCAGTGCTTGTTGCGTTTGCATCTTGGATGGCTCAGAAACAGGGCCGCTTCATCTGCCTCTCTGCTTTTGTCATTATTGTGTTCCGCTCGGAGCTCTGCATCTTCATGGGTCTCATGTTGTTGATGTCGTTGCTGAGCAAAAAGCTAGGAATTCTGCAGGTGCTTTACTATGCTGTTCCTGCTGGGATGTTATCACTTGGTCAGTGACAACAAAACAACATCAAAACAATATATATCTGTTTAGTTCCTTTATGTTTTCACATACTGTAATGTCTTTTTTGATTGTTATTCTCTTTTACAGCTCTAACTGTGGCCGTTGACACCTTCTTTTGGAGAACATTTCTGTGGCCTGAAGGTCAGGTTTTGTGGTACAACACTTTTCTCAACAAAAGTTCCAACTGGGGAATATCCTTTGAATTAGCACCTGTAGATGTCTATATGTGACTGTCCCAAGTGCTGTAGTATTTTTCACAAATTAAAATAATGTTTTCCTTGACTTATCCCTCTCCTAAACCTCCCCCTTCCTCTGGTATTTCTACTCCGTGCTGCCCCGTGCCCTCGGCTGCTCAATGCTCTTTATCCCACTGGGTCTTCTTGACAGAAGAATGAGAATCATTTCGCTTCCGACAATCGGCTTCATCCTCATCTACTCACTGCTGCCCCACAAGGAGCTGCGCTTCATCATATACACATTCCCAGTGCTTAGTTTGGTGGCCGCCCGAGGTTGTTCTTTTATGTGAGTAAAAGCAGAAAAATGATTTTAGAAAACTTTCAAAGGATTTCTGTTGAAATATGTGATCTCACCGCCAGCAACTCTGTCTGAAATAACTAGTTTCTTTTTATGTTTTATTTTAGTTTGGCCAACTACAAGAAATCCTGGATGTACAAGCTGGGCTCTGTTGTCGTAGTTGTCCAGCTGTTGACAAATGCAGCGTATTCTACTCTCTGCCTGTATATTTCCCATCACAATTACCCAGGAGGCCACGGGATGCTCCAGCTTCACAGGCTGTTGCCACCCACTGCAGGTCTGAATCACTTTAAGCTGTTATTTACTGACCTAATAGTCATTAAAATTCAATAAATTAAGCTGATGATGATGAGCTATGTTTACGTTTTTTCTCTCTGCATGAGACAGAAATGCCAAGTAAAATAAGCAATATAAATGTAAGATATGATCATTAATCTGGGAATTAAAGTATATGTATGTACTAATTGCATAGAAAATAAACTTTTATTTAACTACTGTATATATATCTATAATAAATGTATTTTTGCATCTTTTGTAGATGTTTTTGTTCACATTGACACTTACGCTGCTGAAACTGGAGTGACACGGTTCTTGGAGCTAAACAGACACTGGAGGTTCGTTTTTTTTTTTTTTGTTTGTTTTTGTTTTTTCAAATGTTGATTCCATCTCTGTTTTACATTAAATATTTTTTATGCTTCTGCCTGCCACTCTCCTCAGATACGACAAAAGGGAGGACGTAAATACCACAAGTCCAGAAGTCAGGACATACACACACTTACTCATGGAAGCTGACGTAAAAAAGCTACAGCTACTCCAGGACACCCACCAGCCTGTGGCATTCGTTGACGGTTACAGTAACCTCGCCTTTGACTTGTTTCACTTCCCTCCTGTCAGTGTGAAACTGCAGCGTAAAGTCGTGCTGATGGAGAGAAAGACTAAAGCTCAGGAAAACAAGTGACTTTTCGCTGACAAGTTGTCAGATTAAGAGTTTAGGGGTTTTTGACTGAATGTGAGTTAAAAGAAACAGTAGTAGTGATAATCACCGCTGCAGTTTTTGTTAAATAATGCATATTTTGTACAACTTTGTTTTAAACAGTGTAGATAAACCTTACTCCTTATAATTGTGCTGCCTTATTGCAGGCACCTATTATTGGCATAACAATTGTAAAACATTTTTACATAGCAAATTAAACACAAAAAAAGAAAAAGATATTGCATATGGAAAACCTTTATTTACAAATGACCACAAAATGTGCATGGTTCCAGTCTCAATGCTCAAAACATTTATCAAATTAAGTTCAGAAGTAATTTAATATAAAATGTACAGTACATCATTTTACTCAATAAACCCATAATTTAATTCCCCTGAACATAAACTTAAATTGTGCTTAAGAGAAACTGTAAATTCCAAACAAACTCATTATCCTTATTCTGAAAATACAGCAATTTTGTACATCTTATTAAAAACATTTCACAAGTAAAAATATCTATTTCTAAATGACAGTACCATAAGCCACAAATTCAACAATGAAAATTAAATAACATTAACTTAAAACATCTTTCAGTCACAGCATTTATTTTTGGACCATGTTTTCATTAAGAAAACAATTCTGCATCTATCACATCCGTAAGAGGAAAAAAAAAAAAAATCAAAGCATCCTGAATTGATCTGCGTAAATCTTAACAAAATATTTACAGCATTTTTGACCTGAAGTAGTTTTTGGATAAGGCACAAGGACAGAGTAGACACAGAAAACAAACATTGATTTACAAGCAAACACATTATCATCAAACCCCCGACAGCTAGAAAACCCCTCCCTTCCTGATGACACTTCTGGCTGAGACGTTTTTTTTATCACATCAGAGTGTTTTAACAGTAGTACACAGAATACAATAAAACCCCATCTGGTCTGTTCACTGAGACGCAGAATCAGTGTAGAAATTGATATTTTACATTATTCCTAGTAAGGACACCCCCCCGTCCCTCCCCACGACCCTCCCCACCCAATGCCCACCCCTTTTCACAGCTCTTCAACTTGGTCCTTAATAAAGGTTTTTTTTTTCAAGTTAATGCTCAATATTAAATCAGTACTGAAAATAGATCAAAGGGAGGTTGACCTTGAGGAACAACAGACCCTCTAAGTTTTCCAGTAAAGGCCTGGGCTGGTTAAGGGCACAGTTGACACTCGCTGTGCTGAACAGTGTCTCTGCTGGGATGATGCTGGGAGGGCAGCCAACGTAACGGGCAGCTACTTTAGCAAGATTGGGCCAAAGGAACTTTTTCAGGTTCCAGTAATCGAGGGGATCACAGCTTTGATCAAGGATGTCTTCCTCAAGGTACTCCAGCACTGCCAGCTCTGAGGACTTTGGCTTCTCTTCAGTTTTTATCTTTTGCCTGACGTCAGCCATCAGGGACCAAAGGCTCTCCTGGTTGGTATTAGGACTGGTGGATGATTCCGGGTTTTCGTTACAGCCGTTGGGCAGCAGAGGCTGGTCTGCATCTGAGGTAGAAGAGGACGAGTCCATCTCTCTGATTAGTTCTTGTCTACACTGCTCTGCTTCTTCTTCAGTGAACAATGACGTCTTGTATCGTGGGTCCAACATGGTGGCCCACATGTATCGTGGGTCCTGCAGTGTTCCTGACATTCTGCTCACCATGGCTTCTTTCAGAGACTTGAGCATGTTGTCGATGCCCACAGTCTCATCAAACAGCAGGTCTATCTTTCTGTTGAGGATGTGGATGAGTGGTATCACCTGACCCAGAGTGGCAGTGTGGCTGCTCATCTCCCTACAGGCAACCTCAAAAGGTTTTAGAGCATTGCAGAAAGACTGCATCACCTCCCATTGGTCGCAGCTGATCATTTCCCTGAAATTACACTCTATCGATATCTCGTCGATAGCTTTCTTCTGCTCTACGAGACGCTCTAGCATGAAGAAGGATGTCATCCATTTGGATGGTACATCCTGGATCAGCGGGTTCTCTGGCAGCTCGTGGACCCTCTGAAGCTCGGTCAATTTCTCCTTGGCCTTTGCTGAGCGGTGCACACGTTCACAGATCTTTCGTGCAATACTCAAGAGGTTCTGAACCATTCTCTGGCTCTTTATGGCTTCGCTAACAATGAGGTCTATAGTGTGTCCAAAACACTGCATGGTGACGTGGCCGTGGTCCTCCAACGTGTTTCTGATGGTAAAGTTATCAGTTACAGTGAAACCCTTTTTCAGCCCTGAGGACGTGATCCAAGAATCCCACAGAAACTCCAACTGCTTTGGGATGTCTTGCACATCTTGGTCACAGTCTATCTGAGAGACACTTAAGAGAGCGGAGCAGTGAAAATCCTGACTCTGGGGTCTGATACTTGACTCGTAAGTTGCCCAGTGAGCAGTAAGGGTCAGGTATTCTCTTGTCTGGCTGCTGACCCAAATACTAGTTGTGAAGTGGACAACACCACCTTCAGCCTCTTTTAGATGGGTCAACACAACATCCTTCACCCGTTCATACATATCTGGTATGGCAGTGCTGGTAAAGAAAGAAGAAGGTGGTAGAGAATACTGAGGCTGGAGGTACTCTAGCAGTCTGTTAAGTCCAGCATTCTCCACCAAGGCTGATGGCTGAAGATCTAGTGCGAGCATTTCTGCGATAAGCTTGGTGATTTTTTTGGCAATCGGGTGGTGTTCGTCAAACCTCTCAGGGCTCTGTTCTGCTTCATAAACAGCAGTGTCCATAAGCTCTTGTTTAACATGAATTTCAGCAGACGGCACATCACCTGAGATAGTATTGTTACTGTCAAGAACATGTCCATGAAACCTCTGCATGTGTCTAAAAAGGCAACTCGTGCCGAGGTTTGTAGTCTTTTTGCCTCTGCTAATTGTGCGGCTACAGTGCAAACAAACCACCTTTGTGGGATCAGCAGGTGATATGGAGAAATGGTTCCACAGTTTTGACGTCTTTTTACTTAAACCAGGCTGAGTTTGGGTTTTTTTCTCACTAGTTGGGCTGTCAGTTTCTTTGGTGGAAACTGCATCTGTTGCAGTGAGAGTGGTGTAGGGTTGTGGGGAGGAAGATTCCTTGTCATCTGTGCTTTTTTGGTTTTTGAGGACATCTGGGTGGCGTCTCATGAGATGTCTCATCAGACAGCTTGTACCAAAGTCGCCCCGTTTCCCTCGACTGATGACACACGGACAGTAACGGCACAGTGCTTTCAACTGATCGACTGGTGACACTATGAAATGGTGCCACACTTCAGATTTCACCCGTTTCATTATCTTTTTGTTTTGCTGGAAAACAGAGTGATCATGGTTTAGGCCGAGGCCCTCAGACTGGTCACATGGTGAGGAAGTCATGGGCACATCCTCTGTCTTTATTTTGAAAGAGAGGTTGAGGGAGGACTCTGGCCCTGAGTGTTGCATTATTTCCTCAGTTACCTGTTGAATATCCATGCTCTCCTCTAGGCTCTGGTGAAGTTCTTCTGATACCGTTTCTGGTGAGGAGGGAAAAACAGGCGAGTCTTTTTTAATTTCTGATAGATCCTGTAGAGTAGTGCGGGCCAGAAGTGAGGGTGGGTTTGTGTACGGTGGTGGGATGTGATTGCCCTGCCCGTTTTCTTCAATGACAACTTCTTTGTGGGCCCTCCACATGTGACGAATGAGGCAGCTTGTCCCCAGGTCTTTACCATTTTTACCTCTACTAAATTCATTCATGCAATGGATACATACTGCTTTGGAACTGTCAGCAGGAGAAAGGTAGAAGTGTTTCCATACGGCCGATCTGCGACGGGAACTGGAGCTTTTTGGAGTTCCAAGAAGGCGCTCAGGCCCTCCCTCTGACAAGTCTTCAAGGTTGTTTTCATTGGAATGGGAGGATGAGAGAATGCTGCCAACTGTGTCAATGTTGGCAAACTGTTCTAATTTTGGTTCAACATTGGGTAACACTTCTTTGGATGAGAGGTCTAAATTTTCAGCTGAGGAAGTGGACGGAGAAGTGTTCTTTGAGGCAGAATTAGTGATATTTGTCATGTCTCCATTTTTTGGTGAATTAGGCGAAGGAAGCATGAAAGAGGAGGTGAGAGGGCCACTTAGATTATTCAACGATGCGTCTGCTCCTTCCTGTAAAAGCACAGTAGGGTGAGCCCTTCGTACGTGCCTCATTAAACAACTTGTACTCAGGTCCTTCTCATTCTTACCCCGACTAAACTCTTTCATGCAGTATAAACAGATTGCTTTGGTACTGTCTCGTGGTGATATGCAAAAGTGATTCCATGCAGGAGATTTTTTTCTTGGGTTGTTTTGACTCCTCATGGATGATAAAAGGCTCTGAGTGACGGCATCCATGGCAACGTCATAAAGGGTTCCCGTGTATGGACTCAGTAAACTGCTATAATCATCGCCCTCTCGTGTTAAAAAAGGGCCGAATGAGCTGCCGAACGCAAGACTTTCATCTTCCGGTGTCTCCTTCAACTCATTTACATCATCCATCTCCACCTCATCTTCCTCCTCCTTGTTTGAATGTTTGCTTTGATTTTTACCATTTTCGTGGTTTTTATTCTCGGTTCTCTTCCGTATCAGTGTTTAGGTATTTGTTTGCAAGAGTAGGAGATGCCAGGTCAGTCTCTTTTGCTTCATCAGACTCCAAATGTTTTTCATCCTGAGAAGATAAATGGGGGGAAAGTGAGGAGTCTTTATCCAGTGTTGATGAGGAGCAGGCTTGTGAATTTGCATCGGCAGTGTCCCTAGGGTTAATGCTGTAGGATTTAAATACGTAGCCATCCTGGCCCTCAATTTTCAGACAGGCCCCCTTTGCCTCCAATTTTTTACTTTCATTTGCACCGTTAGATTTAGTGACCATATCCTCTTTCATGTGAAAGACTTCCTCCTCCCCCTCCATGGCAGCAGCCCAATGTTCACTGTAGTAGTAGGCAGGTCTGCTTTGTCAAACGTGGTCACTGACTTTAGGTGTACTCATTGATACAGCTGTTCTCATGCAGGTGTTGTAATGTGTGTGGGGCTCTCCAGGATGCAGGGTGCCTGCTTGTTGCTCTCCATTTATGACAAAAGTAGTTCCACTATACCACACATAACCTAGAGAAACAGAGGAGAAAAAAAAACACCATTACAATGAACAAAAAAAATCCCACAATACAGGTATTACAGGTATTGTACAACTACAGAGACCTCTGTACTGGGTTCATTTTGAGTCCTGAAACTGATGGATAAAGAACTGACTGTTGTTATCAGATGGCACCAGAAAAAGTTCAAGGTTTGGGTTTAAGGTTACCATAAACATCACATTTTGTAAGATAACTAGTAGATTCTTTCAGTGCAGTCATTAGTTAGCTAATATTTGATCTTAATCTTAACCTGATGATGATGTAAAAAAAATATTTAAATATGAGCACAATTCCCTAAATTATAAAAATGTATGCCTCTCTCTCTGTGTTATAAAACCTATTGACCTTTCTCACCAGATCATAATGTTATACACTGTTTTCTCCATTTCCACTGGTCAACAGAGCTCACATGTGTGGGTTTTAGTAAGGTGTTTGACTGGTGGATATCTGTTATTCATTTCCGGATAATTTAAGTCTGCAAAACAGGTTTGTAAAAATCAAATTCTGGTCAGATTTGGTTATTTTGCATTGATGATACAATGGTGTAACTTACTTTCATCTTCTACTTGTTAATCTGTTGGTTAGCCAAACCCACTCTTTATAACATGCAACAACAAACAGAGGAACTGGTACCATCTGGGAGTGGTCCTGTATTTGCATTGTGACCACCTCGGGGCATGTAGGTATTTTTTTTATTTTGCTAATTCAACACACAATAGGCAATGACACAACATTAATGTTTATGTTCAGCCAAATCAGAAGACCAAAGGCTCTAGGTTGATTTTAGACCCAAAGTGGTTTCAGCTGAACTTTTTATGAATTTCAGCAGTCATTGTTTATGTAGTGCATTTAAGTCTTTCAACTAGTGATCAAGCATGTTGCTTTTTCTATATTATATTGGTATAATGTTTTTTTCCCATCTGGTGAATGTTTGACCAGCATGTAAAAACAACTGTATGAGATAAGAGTTAAGGAATTGACTAATATGTAACGCCTGATCAAAGCAGAGAACAAAATAATTGATAAAATATTAGTAAACCAACAAATATAGACATCAAAACTAAAAAGGTAGTGAAATTATGTCAATCAATATTTAAAAAATGTAATTGACTATTACATTAATGTATGGATTTATGTTTTATTAATCCGTGTATTATTTTAGATAAGTTAACATTATTTAATAAAAAGTAATTCCACTTTAAATAATACTCAATACTCAAAACACTCAATTACACAGAAATATTCTGAATGGCAAATTATGCATCAAGGCAAAACGTATTGGCCATATATTAAACTATTTTTTTTTTCCTTTCATTGTACATAACGCATACGACACAATTTGTTGTTTGTTTCCACAGGCCTCATCAACTCAGATAACAGCCCGAGTACACAAGTACCACCCAACAGAACTCAACGAAACTATCAGAAATATCTACGCGGTAGACTGAATTATATCTAAATAATATTGCATTAACAAAGTGTGTACACGACCGGTTCTGTTTTACTGTAAGTAGGTAGCAAAATAAACAAGAAGTTTCGAACCATTTCCTAAATGATCACTTGACAGTTTTTCCGGGTTTAGCCTCAAGTCCTGTTCAGGAAGAGTCGAGAGGACAGAGGAAAATAGCCAACGCCGACTGCCCTTCATGTTCACGTTAATTCAAGTTTTGAAGTTGTCTTTATTACTGGGTTTAGTTGTAATATCGAATTAACAACACACAACACCCCACTGAACTTAATTGACCCTCACACCCACATATATTTACTGATATATTCAACAACTGCCTACAGTTACCGCGACGCCGTCAGTAAACACCACGGTGGCTAAACTGATGCTAAGTTTGTTAGCCGCATGGCTAATAAACACATTAAAACAACACTCAGGTGTAGCGGTTGCTACGCATGGATTTATAGCGGGTCAATATTAGAGCTACTGTAACTTATGTGGCTGGTTTATTACTGTAGTGTTGACCCCACTGAAGCGTCGAGACCATTTCGGACCGCACCACCTCTGCTAGCTGGTTAGCTGCCAGCTAGGCCACACACACAGGACATTGAAGCTAACCTGGTGAGGCAGAACCCAGCCGTTGTAAGACGAACCACACGGGATCCGAATCAGACCAGCGCTTCCTACGATGTCCTATTCGCACAAAATCATCCCCGGACGGGTGTGTTATCAGAGAATACTTACTGTGTACTGTGGCGATGCAATCCCTGTGTTTTGGCCCCTCGAACGGTTATATTTGAGACATTTGATTGATCCGGAGCGGGGTTCACTTTAGTTGCTTTTGTCTTCTGGTTTGCTAGCACTTCACGTTCGGCCGAAGCAGCTCCACGCAGCGTCAGACGGAAGGAACATGTTTTAATGATGTCACTGCGCGTAGGGTCTCCAGTGTGACGAGGGAAGAGGTCATAAATGTACAAGGCAGCAGAATCCTACATAACACCCAGTTGCCTGTTCGGATATATTATTTTAAACGGAACGACTTCAATTGTAAGAAATAATTCGATATTAATGTTCTCATCAATTACAGAGTATGTTATCAATAATTTATAAACTACTTCAATGGTAATACTCGTAATACTAACAGTAATAATAATACTATGAATACAGTCTTTGCAGAATATGCAAACAATCGTTAAAACATTGTTGTATTTTGGTTTAGTTTTGCATTATTTTAGGCTGCAGCTGAGGATTATTTTAACAGGTGAGTAATAAAGTATGAGTCATTTGTTCTATAAAAAGCTATCCATTCACAACTAATTTCCTCTGAAAGGAAAGAAGATGGCATTGCAATTTAAAATCTTTCAAGAAAAGAGATGAGTAACCATGAGAAAAATGTTGACTGGTATGCTTTGTTATTGGTTGATTTGTTGTTTATTCTGCTCGTTACAGTTGGCTATAACTGTATGCTGTCATCTCATTATCATAATATTTTGTTCCATAACAATTTTATGCAATTTTACAATATATGTAAGTGTAAGTATTAAAAAAATATTATCAGAAAATGACTATACTATACTTTTGGTTCAAATGTATGTTATACGTATGTAGTGTGTGTAAAACTTATAAAAGAAGACCATGGTACATTTCTGTCACGTATATAACTTATGTCACCAATTATCTATGAATGAATGAATGGAGCGACTTCGTGTGTTGCATTCACGGACATTCTGCTGCAAAAGTAAAATTGTTGCAGGTACAAAATGCCTACTTTTATTCTTAACGTAAGTCTTGAAGGTTAATCTGATCCAAATGACCTCAAGAACATTTGGTTAGAACGAAGCGCTGACCTCAGGGCGGGGCAGTTTCCTGCAGTTCGTTTGTTGTGTTTCCTGGCTCTGTCTTTCGTCGTTTTATTTTAAATAGAAATAGTTTAAAATTCACACAGCTTTACAGGACAAATACTTTAGCCGAAAACTCGTACTTTTTTTTTTAGCTCTGTCAAATAGATACATGTTGGCAGACGCTAGGTTTTAACGCGTAGAGGGTTTTGTCTTTGCCTAGAGTGGGTTGACTAAAAGTCGGGACATTGGTCTTGTAACAGATGGACCATTGTGTGCGATCCAAGATTCACCACTAAACATGACCTCTAGCGTCACACGTAGAGCGGTGCGTGAGGGTGGGAGTTGTCTGCTGAAACGCATTGTTGTGTTGGGGGATGAGCCGTTCGTCCGTGCTGCTGCTGCTGCCGCCGCCGTTGCTGCTACTGCTGCTGATCTTTGGTCGACTGCAGCTAGCGAGTGACTATAATCCATGAATGGCCTACTACGAAAATAGGACCGTATTCTGTTGAATTTCCTTGCGAACATTCACAGTCACAGGAGATCAGATTTCCTCTTTTCTTAGCAACGGAAAAGAGCCTCGTGTTGGATGAGAACATTGTGTGCAGGATTAGAGCCACTTAGCAGGCCCTGTCGCCTCTGCTTTGTAGGGCTGCCTGTTAGCTCTCGTCTTCTTCGGCTAGCGAACTGGTTCCTGCATCGGAGGTATGTACTTCGGTTTTGTTTAATATATATTTATTTGTTTTACCAGTTGGACGACAGTTTACATGAACCGAGTTCGTTCGGTCTCACACATGCGCTTTGAATTAACAATTACAGAGAGCTTTTTGTTTGTTTGTCGCCATTTGCCCTCGTTTGCGGACTACTTAGCCGCTCTTGCTAGGTAGCTGCCGAGCTACTGTTATTGTTAGCATTGGCCTCTTTGGGTCGTTTCTTTAAGTCGTTGTTACTTCTCTGCACAAAATGGTCACATGTTATCCCTTGCACATAAACTTCCCTGTTTGGCCACTTCTTACAACATTTGCCCCAGTCCACGGTCTTGCGTTCACCGCTGCAAAGCTACAACGTTACACTTTCTAGCCACAGTTGGATTTGGTAGTACTTTAATTGAAAGTTCAACATAACAGTTTATATTGCAATTTATTTAAATAAAACAATACTTTTTTTTACATTTTAAAACCATAGTTCCTCGACTTTTATTGGACTTTATTAAAGATAAAGAAACCCCTTAAAGCCAATTTTTACCAGTCAAAACAAATTGGTTGATGACAAGCTCAAGTCTTTCATTACCCTTTGACAACATCTGATGTGTTTTAGTCTCATTTAATGTCCATTATTTAAAGGTCTTACACAAGTCTCAGCCAAGGAGCTGTAAATTATTCAAAAGTTTTGCGGAACTATCTCAGATATTGAGTATGGCCAGTAAGTGTGACTATTTTTGAACAGAAAATATATCTTGCCTTTCTAGATATATAGCGTTTTATTATTGTAAGTATAAGTAATTACTTCTCCACCTAAATCATTTAAAAAATGAGTAATTTAAATTGATATTTTGCATCTGCCTTGTGCCCTTACATATTAGATGTTTTTTATTACCAGATTATTACCAGATTAGTCATTTTTATTGATATCCTGAGCAAATCATTTTCACCGATGCCACTGTGTTTGACTCGTGTTTTCACTGTATCCTGCAGTATTTTTTTTTGTTTGCAACAATAACTCAAGGGTCCGATGTACTTGGCAAAGGATATAAAGTTAAGGAATAATCAGCGCCATGTGATGTTATCATACTGTACAAAGTTTACCTTTTAAAACAATCTGTAAATGTTTTGAAATTTCTCAACCGTACGAGATGTAATCATGCTAAAAGTTTTCAAATAAGCTTTAAACATGACTACTAACTATTAAAAGGGGGGAAGGTTGATCCAGTGAAGGTTCTCACCTTCCATTCATATGGGCTCATGTTTAGTTCTACCAATGCTGCAACTACTAACCTTATGAAAGTGTTGCATCAAGAACAGCTTCAAGCATTTAAAAAATCCTTTGAGATCCCTGTGCTACTTCTGTGGTGAATTCTGATGATTTCAGATGTCAAGTGATATAGCCAAGCCTACGATTGCTTTTAAGATAAGATAAGACTTTATGCATCCCACACTGGGGAAATTCAGTTGTTACAGCAGCAGGATAGACATGTAGTAATAAAAGTAACAGCAGCGTAGCCACAGTATTTACAAGGTGAGCTGCAAATATCACGTTTCCAGCAAGGAATAAAGTGCCTAAAGTTATAGTGCACATAGAACAAAATAAAAACAATTCACAGTGTAGCTTGATTTTGTTTTTACTTGTCTTGAAAAATATAACCATAATTTAAAATATCAATGATTTTTGACCACATCACATATGGATTATTTAATATATTTTCTATTTTATATACAGAAAAAACATATTACCCAGAAAACATTTATTTACCTCCATTCATTTCCCTTTCTGTCGCCCCACAGCAACACGGAGCATCAAGATGAAGAAGAAAGCTCGGCAGCATCGCGCTGCGGTTCCACAGCGGCCTTCCTCTCCTATCAAGCCCTCCCCCAACAAGCAAATCCTGACGTATGCACAGGCCCAGCGCATGGTGGAGTTTGAGATGGATGGCCGCATCCACCGTCTCAGCATATATGACAAGCTGGATGTGATCCCTGATGATGACCCCATGGTACAGGAGATGATGGAATGTACAAGCAATAAAGAGAATACAGAGAAACCACAGCCGGTCCTCCTGAGGTCAGTGAGATTAAAAAACAACCAGGAGAAGAGAAACGCCGCCCTGGGTATCACCAGTCATGGCGAGGGGAATGGGCATCAGGCATCTCGTAACACTGGTCCAAAGCTTCCAGAGCCCAGGTTTCGTACTGTGGAGTACAATATTCCCGCTGTCCCTAAGCGTCCCGTTGCCTATTACAAATACACAGAAAAGACAGACGAAGAGCTGGACGAGGAAACGGAGTACGACATGGACGAGGAAGATTACGCGTGGCTGGAACTGGTCAATGAGAAACGGCGAAGTGAAGGGATCAGTCAGGTTTCGCACAATGTTTTTGAATTCCTTATCGACCGGTTTGAGAAAGAATCGCACCTGGAGAGTCTGGATCAAAGCAGCGAAAAGTATGCCGCTATCGACGAGGATGCCGTCTGCAGCATTTGCATGGATGGGGAGGGCCACAACAGTAACGCAATTCTGTTTTGCGATATGTGTAATATCGCGGTGCATCAGGAGTGCTACGGTGTGCCCTATATTCCTGAGGGCCAGTGGCTGTGTAGACACTGCCTTCAGTCACCCACTCGGCCCGCAGAGTGCATCCTCTGTCCCAACCGGGGTGGAGCAGTGAAAAAGACAGACGATGACCGCTGGGGCCACGTGGTTTGTGCCATCTGGGTCCCAGAGGTTGGCTTTACCAACACCACCTTCATTGAACCTATCGATGGCGTCAGCCACATTCCTCCAGCCCGCTGGAAGCTTACGTGCTACCTCTGCAAGGAGAAAGGTGTTGGGGCATGCATCCAGTGCCACAAAGCCAACTGTTACACAGCCTTCCATGTCAGCTGTGCCCAAAAGGCCGGCCTCTGCATGAAGATGGAACCGGTCAAAGAGGTTACGGACACCGGAGAACCCACGTACTCTGTGAAGAAGACCGCCTTCTGTGGAGCTCACACACCGAACGGGTGTGTGAGGAGGCCGCTCACAATCTACGATGACGCCGCACCAAAAAATGGCCTGTGTAAGAAATCGGGCAAAGTCAAAGCTGCTGATAAAGGGTCTTCCAAAGGGAAGCACAAGAAAAAGAGCAAGAGTAAAAAGGTCGAGCCAGAAGAGGAAAGTGAAGCTGTGACCCCTGCTCCTGTGCCTACTTTTCCTGCTCACAGGTAAACATGAGTCGACACATTACAGTATTATAGTCCTGTTGTTATGACAAAGTTGCTTCAACCCCGTAATATCATACATACAAATATAAATTAGTAGTATTTCTGTTTTTGTTTTTGACTTACCCTTCTCTAGGTTACAAACCATTTTAAACCAAGTGTCTGTTCAGAAGAAGAAAGCTTTTGTGGAGCTGGCCTTAAATTACTGGACACTGAAGAGGCAATCCAGAAACGGGCTTCCCCTCCTCAGACGACTCCAGATGAGCACGCAGTCTCAGAAGAATGCTCAACCGGTTTGTTCATCTGTCAGTCAACCCCAGAAGACTTTCAGTCTTCATTTTGTTTTTTTTGTTGCTTTTTTTTTAGTTTGTAGATATTAAATTATGTATGATATTCATTTAAACAACCATCATATTGGCATGATTGTTGCCAACCATTAGAACATTTCTTTCCATGTCATCTTACCAATTTAATTATTTTTTTCTTTTTTTTTTTTACATTTTTACCCGGTTGTTAACGTTTTGTTTTTATTTGCATGTTTCCTCCAGAGACAGAATGAGGAGGAGAGCAGGGCATTAAAGGACCAGCTAAAGGAATGGCACCGTCTCAGACATGACCTGGAGAGGGCCCGTCTCCTGCTGGAGTTGATCCGCAAGAGGGAGAAACTAAAGAGAGAAGAGGTATTTAACAATTATATATAATTCTTACTCTTTTTCGCTAGACACAACAACCAACGTTTTGCCTTTTGTGCTGCATTATAGATAAAGCTACAGGAGACACTCTTAGAGATGCAACTGACTCCCTTCAGTATTTTGCTGAGAACTCTCCTGGATCAGCTTCAAGCAAAAGACCAGGCCAGGATCTTTGCCCAGCCAGTGGACATCAGTGAGGTAAACACAGCCTTTTGTTCTTCCTAATTGTGAAAATGTTTCAAGCGCTGCTGATTCATGCGCTAATGACCGTTTTACCAAGAGTTAGTTTTATTTGTCATTTGAACATTTCTTCATGTTTTTTTTTTGTGTTCTCAAATTGTCTTTGCACAAATATTTACAAAGACGTTGTTTTATCAGCCAAGTGTGTTTTTTTTTTTATGAGAACGTGTGGTAATGCAAATTCAGTGGTTCTAGTTTACCTGCCAAGTTGCCGTAACTTGTTGCAGAGTAACTGTTAGTGCTGATCTCTGTTTTGTAAAAGTTCAGAGAATTAAAAATGTGAACGTGTGGGGAAAAAAAATGAAAACACTCATCTTTAAAGACTGGACTTTCAAACTGACATAGAAGAACTTTAACCTGCTAAAAGGAACTTTCTGACCACAGAGCTTATCCTCAGACACAGACACTGTTAAGATTGTCACTGCATGTTTCCTGCCACAAGCCCTGGTCCTAAAGATGTGGATCATAAATCCTCCAACTCCCCCACCCTTGTTTCGTCAGCATTGAGCAGTGGAATGTGTAACCTGATAGCAAAGTCCCCTGACAGATGACGTCTGTAAGAGTAAATGTTTGCCCTGCTCTCCAAGCCCGGCTAGCTCAGTCGGTAGAGCATGAGACTCTTAATCTCAGGGTCGTGGGTTCGAGCCCCACGTTGGGCGAGCAATGTTTTTTTTTCTTGGAATTTGTTAAAACACGTGGAATTATATGCCCTAAATTTTCAGTTTTTAGAAAGGATAATGTTTAGATTTTATTTGGTTTAATTTAACCAGAATAAAGGGAAACGTGTTTTTTTTTTTTTTTTTAAGATAATTCAAATACACACAGCAGTTATTACATGATGGTTAATTTTTTATATTATCTCCTGCAGGTGCCAGATTATCTTGACCACATCAAGCATCCAATGGATTTCTCCACTATGCGGCAGCGCATCGACGCACAGACGTACAACAACATCGAGCAGTTTGAATGTGATTTCAACCTCATTATTGACAACTGCATGAAGTACAATTCAAAGGAAACGTATTTCTACCGAGCTGCCATTCGCCTCAGAGATCAGGGCGGAGCTCTGCTCCGAAAGGCCCGGCGTGACGTGGAGAAGATTGGCTTTGACACAGAGTGCGGCATGCATCTGTCGGAAGCCCCAGAGATGAAAGCACCGCCACCCTTTTCCTGGGATGATGGTAAGACTGGTGAAATATTTATTTTGTAGAACTCATTAAAGTAGTTTGAAGACTAAAATCACATCAAATGTGCTCAATTCTCCTCCTAGTGGACCGTTTACTTATACCAGCCAACCGGAAGCACCTGCCTCTGGACAAACAGCTGCAGCAGCTCCTGGAAAAGTTCGACCTGACCTGTGCCATGAAGTCCAGCCCTTCCCGTAGCAAGCGCCTCAAACTCCTCAAAAAGACCATCAATGACGTGCGCAGCGAAATGAGCCTGAAAAAAGTCCTGCCCTCCCACCACCATCACAGTTCTTCCTCCACGCCGTCGTCGTGGCCAACGTCGTCGTCATCCACCCCACCGCTTCCAGAGACGCCCAAACTGGAAGAGGAGAGGCCGAAGCCTAACGGACATATTCCAGATGACGAGGGTTGGTGTTCAAAACTCGAGACTCAACACTGCACGAAAACATTGTTCTCCCATTATAGAACCCCACAGAGTTTGAGTTGTTCTCTGTAGGGCAGGCAAGAGGGGTTTACTTTAAATCCAAACTTTTAATTGGTCAGCTGGGATAAATAGATTTTTTTTTTTAAATATATGAAACCAAAAACAACATTCCTCTGTGTTCACTCAAACATGCCACTTGTAGCTCTGTGTACTTTTTTTTTTTTACACGACAAATTTGAAAACAAGAATATAACACAGAGGACTAGGATCTGATGCACACACAGGTTCACACAAATTTATTGCAAATGCAAAACTGTGTTCAAATTGTCATATCTTCACTTTCTTTTATTAAAATTGCTTCATTGTTCAAGTTATCTAGCAAGATCCAGTTGAATATAATATAATGCCGAGTCAGCCCTCTTGCAGACACAAGGACAAAGTGGATTTTGCAGCGTATTCCTGTTGCAAATAAACCCCTTGGTTTTTGTCATGTACTTGTTTTAGGAGTTATTTTATTCACAGCAAAAATATACACCGAAAAATAAAAAAATATCAAACATTTTCTGTAAAAAAAAAAAAAGCATCTTAACAGTTCACAATATTTTTAACCTCTGTGATGTGTCTTGCTTTTTGTAGTCATTTATCTATGCTGAATTACCGGTGTGCTTCACACAATTTTAACCTGTGTTTATTTGATCCTTCACCACAGGAGACAAGCGTCTTCCTCCTAAACTGGAGCCCTCGGACTCCATACCTCTGCTCATACACTCAGACACAGACCCTGAGCCTCCCACCCTCAAACCAATCGACGCTGCATCAGACTGCGAGTACACAACTCACAACAAGAGATGCAAGCTTGACGGAGAGATCCCTGACCTGCTGCCGTCCGCCCCTCGCCTCAACGGCCACTCCCACGAAAGCCTCCAGAACTCTTTACTAGATGGAGACATGAGCGTGGTGGCTACCTCCACCCTTGCGGAGCCCACGGGGACAGTCAGCCGGCGGACGGCTGTGCTCTTCCGCAAGTCGAAGACCAGCAGTCCGCAAAAGCCTCACAGGACCGTGGATGAGGCGGCAGACGGTGTCATCAGGAAAAATCGCGAGGGAGAGGAAGGTGAAGAAGCAGCACAGCTGGGCTCAAAGTCCTTCCTGTCGGTGGTCATACCTCGGCTGGAGACGCTGCTACACTGTAACAAAAGGAAACGTAGCGAAAGCAGGGATGGTGAGGAGGAGGTCGGAGGTCAGGGTGAAAAAGAAGAGAAAGAAGAGTCATCTCTGAAACGACTCAATACCGGTAAGACTTTAAACGACAGAGACTGCTGCAAAGATTTGGCCTTGTAGAACAAACCGAATGACACATTCATATACATCAGCAACGGACGAGAGTGGCTCTAGATTCAGAGGAATGTCTGCTGTGCTCTGCATCAGGTCTTTCAAGTGCTTTTCTGGAGGTGGAGAAGGAGTTGGAAGACACCCGGAGAACAAGTAGACCTGTGGAGCCACGGAGACGCTGTGCTTCCGAGTCCTCCATCTCCTCATGTAGCAGCTTGCCAGGAAGCACCAGGTTAATCATCACAGAAAATAAACACTGGTCATTTCATTTCATCTGTGAGAATGTGAAGAAAGAAGCAGTTTACGGTGTTTCTTTCTGCTTCCCTGGCAACAGGGGTCTCTGAAGCCTTTGTATATGAAAACAGATGGGGATATATATATATAAAAAAAAGGAACAATGAACAATCACTTTGATTTTGGTAACAGTGGAGGCACAGCGTATAAACTGCACTCTACTCCACACTATCTTCAGAGAGTATCTTTAACCACAAGAACAGAAGGATCCCTCTTCCTCTGGAGGAGGTGGAACAATCAACAGGTTTAACTGCGGTAGTCCAGTGGTTCTCAAAACTTTTCACACCGCGTAACCACCTGGGAAAGTATCTGGTTGCGGCCATTTTTAAAAATGGAGGTCTACACTGTTCACCTAGGCACAGAGACACAGAGAGAGAGAGAGAGAGAGAGAGAGAGAGAGCAAGTGAGAATACAAACAGAAACTGTATTTAACTACTAACAGACTCACCTGTTGGGATTCAGATTCCCTGTGTAACACTAAAGAAGTACCACTGGTTGTACAGGTACCGTGGTTAGAAAAACACTGCACCAATCTGTTTGTTTAGTGAGCTGATGTGACATAATTTTTTTTTTTTGGCTTAGCAGATTGATAGTTGGCCACTTATTTAAAAAAAAGAAAGAAGAACTCTTCTTATAGCAGACATAGTCAGAGCGTGTGAATGAATGACACATAATTTTCCTCGCCAGTATATAATCTAGTATAATGTAGTGTTAAGCACTGTTTCTCTGGAGCTGGTCTCATGGGAAGAAAGATTTATAACAAAACTGAAATCACGTACTATTTTAATACATTCGAAATACCAAAGTTTTCCTCAACAGTTTTATTGATCTAACTTATGAACCCCCCCCCCTCTCCCCAGCACCACTAGGCCTTACTCACCTTTGGGTTTCAAAAAAACAGTGCTTTACTGCCATCTAGTGGGCGTAATACATCTACAAAAGTGAAGACCAAGGAGTTTATATTTGTTTGGGAATTTAATAATGAATCCTGGGTTTTTCACCTAACTGCAAATAAAAACGCATTGAAAATAGTAGCTGTTTTACTGCTTTGTATTCCTCATTTGTCTCCCATATTCTAACTCCATTGCATTGAATAAGAGTTTGTGTGTGTGTGTGTGTGTGTGTGTGTACGTGTGTGTCCTGCATATTCATCGTGACTTTAATGGAACCCTGTGTGTGGCGTTTCTTGACAATTCCTGTTTTTCTTCTCTCTTCCTTCCAGCACCATTCTAAGTCTTCCAAAATGTGGGAAGGGAAAACCCGCTTTGGTCCGGAGGAACACTGTGGACGATAAGAGCGAGCTAATAGCGTGCATCGAAACCGGGAACTTTGCAAAAGCAGCACGAATCGCCGCCGGTGAGTTAGCATCTCGTAGCAACAAAACGCACTGCATGCACGTGTGACGTGAAGTGATCTGAAAATCTCTGCATTCATTGGCTACGAATTAAGAGCTTGGCTTTGCACACACACAGGTCATGTAGCCCTCCCTTTTAATGACACTACTCTACTATGGAGTTTTATGGTTTTAGATACATTTTTGTCATGTTTTTTTACCATTTTACATCTCCACAAGAAACAGGGGGTAACGATTGTCCACTCCATGTAAGATAAAAAAAAATCTCGAGCAATGATTGATTTGTTGAGCTCTACACCCCCTGCTAGAAACATTTTAATTGGAACCGTTTTGATGCAGTAACCACAAATTATTAATGTCCTAACTATTGTTAAAATAGCTTTTATTGACTGATGAGTATTTATCTGTGCTCTGCTGTGTCCTGCTTCTGTATGTTCTCCTGTTAAACTCCAGTGATCTGCAGTGAATTGTTCACTTGGGAGAAATGTTATCAAATCATTTCTAGGAATATTTGTAATTAGAAAGTATTAAAACTATTCTTTGTCAAAAACCCAATATTTTCAGGGTTTTCTTTTTTTTTCTTTTTTTTTTTTACACTAATGCTCCATTTAACATCATTACTGCCTGCATTGATTTAAATGACAAATTTATAATAATTTTTCAAAAGTAATTTGTCACTAATCACTGGGCAGCCCAATGATACAGCAAAATAAACTAGCTTAACAAGAGCAGAAGTAAACAAATAAGTCAAAATTATTTTTTTGTTCCAGCCTCAAAAAAGTTCAAGAACCATGATGTTTTTATTGGTATTCTTCGCAACCAAAATGAACTGGGTCTTTATTCCAAGAGTCACCCATGAGAATATACCTTAATGGAATTATCCGGTGTTTGGATGTTTTTTTCTTCAAAGTAAATTCTCTGGCAACAGCAACAGAATTGGATCGATCAACCGGGAACAAAAAAAAAAAAATCAACCCGCAGCGCGGCAGTCTCCCATTGATGAAACTAGGGACGTTTGAAAAGCAGTTCCTGGCACATACTTTAAACAACATGTGGAACGTGTGCCTTGTTTATGCCAGAATTTAGACAAAAGCCATAGGAGTTTACTTTGAAGATTGCAAAGTACATGCAAGAAAAACCCCAATACCCGATAAGTTCAGTAAAATATATTCTGATTATATTATAATCATGTTTTTTTTGTTGTGAAGTAAGAAATACCTTTTTTTTTTCTTTTCTTTTCGTACAAATTTGATCTTGTTTCCAAATTTCTTGGCCTCAGTGAAGTGTATCAGTGAAGTGACTCGATGACCCCAGTGTTCTGTTAAACTTGGGTGTTGATGCCAGTGTGACTGTAGCTCCAGCATCAGTCTGATGCTGTTCAGTATGTTAAACTTGGGTGTTGATGCCAGTGTCAGTCTGATGCTGTTCAGTGGAGGCACCTGGTGTTCATTCACAAACACAAACAGGGTCAAACATCATCAGCCGCCGTCAGCCAACTCCTCCTGAGTTTTGGCCAAGACTAGCACAGTCTTTTTGCTCAGTCTGCCGAACATGACTGGAAACTGCACTCAGCATCTGGCCCGCAGAGCCCCTTCAAAGTTGGCTGATTAAACTGTACATGTGGCTGATAAATTTTCAGTATCTGCCAGTCGCTGTCACTCTACAGGAGAGAAAAAAGAAAAAAAAAATCTGAATTTTTCTGCCCGTCGTCGTCGTTTCTGTGTGCTGCTGCATGGCTGTAGAAAAGTGTGTTTCTGTGTGTGTTTGAACCCACACATAACTTGATTGGTGTTGTTCCCGCTTCCATAGAGGTTGGCAACAGCAATATCTGGATGCCCGCTAGTGCTGCAACAGTTGCATTGGAACCCTTAAAGCTAGTTTGGGCCAAATGTAGTGGATACCCTTCCTACCCGGCCTTGGTGAGTGTTTGTGGAATAGAATGCATGGCAATCACTGATACGTTCTTTTTTTTTTTTTTTAACTTTTTTTTATCTTTATTTTCTTCACTATGGTGTCATTAAACGCTACTATCAATGCCCTCAAGGTGGCGGCATTTCACTTAAAGAAACTAAAAATGTTGACCTTTACAATTAAAAGGACAAGTGAGGAAAATATTTTTTTTTCTTTCAGGCTGTGTGTGCATGGGTGTGTGTGTTTGTGCATAAGCACCTGCATGTGTGTGTGTGTGTGTGTGTAAGAGAGTGAGTGAATATTAACAGCACAGCCATCTTTACACCAAAGTGCTTCTGTCTGTGCTGGCATGTTTGCATTCATGAGCATGTGTGCGCGTGTGTAACTCTCCCTGTGCGCCTCTCTCTCACTGTGTGTAGATCATCGACCCCCACATGCCTCGCGTGGGCAGCCAGCACAACGGGGTGTCCATCCCCATACCCCCCACGGACGTGCTCCGCATCGGGGAGCAGATGCAGTACAAAGCCGAAGAGAAACTCTACCTCGTCCTCTTCTTCGACAACAAGCGCAGCTGGTGAGTGTGTTTCTTTCTCTCTCTCTCTTTCTCTCTCTCTCTCTCTCTCTCTCTGTCTGCTCATCATTATTCTCGTGCTCCACATCATTTGCAAACACGAAACAAAGTGGTGCGTCTTCAAAAAGGCGGCTAAAACTTCACCCTCTGTTGGATGGATTTTTAACCACACAAAATTGAAAAATTAGCCTTTTATCCACGGCTTTAGGTAAAAAAATTCCACCTTTATTGAATGTGCAGGGCGTGGATTTGTGTTCTTTTCTTTTGGTGAAGGAGTTTCTGACTGCTCTTTTTATTTCCACACAAACATCGTGGTCTCCTTTAGCAGAATTGACCTTTTGAACCCACATTAATTGTGATTTCTGCTACTGCAGATCATAGTATCATCTCATCCAATTATTGTTACCTGTCATAAAATGAATCTGTCGTAAAGAGCAGCGGTCTATGAGTCGCTTTTATTATTATATTATAACAGTCAAAGAAATAACTTTTTTTTTTCTGGAAAGACTATTCCTTTACCCGAAACACTAAATAAAACGGCTAAATATGCTAACACGACAGACTAACGTCGCTTAATCCATTCATCCTTGTTGACAATAAACAATTCCACCCACTCTGGTGGAAAATGATGATGCCGTCTCGTCTTCTTCCAGACGTTGTCGTTAGGCTCACCATCAACATCAATTTGTTGCTTTTCTGCTGCCAAATGAACGTCTACGGTTTCTATCTCTATAATCAGTGAACGCTTGTTTGAGTTTTTTAATCCATAACTCAGGTGTGGAGGTTTTTCTTTGTGTCTTTAAGGAAGACTTTATGGTTTAGCTGTTAATTCTCAGTGGTGCAGTAACAGTGTTCAGTTGTCATCAGTGCCCTCTTGTGGATATTAGGTATATTGATGAACCTGTTGCTTCGGAAGTCGCAGGAAAACAACTTGTTGACAGTTGACGTCTTTTTGTTGTAAGACGAATTGTAAAATTCTGAACTGTTGATTTTATATTTTTTTCAGAAACCTTTCATTGTCTACTAAAGCAAAAAAAAAAGTTCTGACTTCTGAGCTAATGTCACTGTGATGCTTCTTTCCCTGCAGGCAATGGCTACCTAGATCCAAGATGGTTCCCCTGGGGATGGACAAGACCATAGACAAGATCAAAATGATGGAGGGACGCACGTCCAGCATCCGCAAGGCCGTCCAGATCGCCTTCAGCCGCGCCATGAACCACCTGAGCGTGGTGCGGGACGAGCCGGTCAGCGACCTCAGCGACGTGGACTGACGACACTCTCTTCCCGGCTCCCGCTCGCCCCCCCCCTCCTCCTCTCTCTCCGCTCCCTCACACGCGCACAACCCCCCGTACCTCTCCTGTACCAAATACTCCTCTTCTGTCTCTGCAGGAGGCTGAGATGTTTACTGGGCACCTGCTGTAACAGGTGGTGACTGTTCCTCATCTATTCCTAGGCGTACACACTCCTCCCACCATGTGCCGACGAGATAAGGCTGCTGCTGAAATGAATGTGTCTACTTGTCTCCACCTCCAGACTTGTGACTGTGCTCACAGACTGCTCCCTTTTTTATTTGTGTGTTTTTTTTGGGTTTTTTTAAAAAATAAATCACTCCCGTCTTCACTCCTCCAATCATGGCCGCAGATATTGTTTATAACTTCAGGGCTTAAACACTAGTGATTGAATTTTAGGGACACGTTGGTCACGCGTCCCCAAAATGTGCCCTGAGGAGCTGCGACCCACTGGTTGAACGTCACAGAAAACAGGGTTTACTCTTGTTGGCTAAAGCAGTTTGTTTGTTTGTTTTTTGTTTGTTTTTTTCACGGTCCGTAGTTTGGCAATTATTATTTTCCAATTTTCATTGATTTAAAAAAAAAAAATCAAGCTGACGTGCGGAGGTTTCCCGCCTGCGTGAAGGCTTTTCAGTTTCATGGAAAAAAAAATCAACTGTAGCCAAAGCATATGTCCACTTCAAGGTCACATAAACGTTTTAAAGTCATCATCAGACACGATCATCGCTCATTTATTTAAACTGTAAATATTGTGTACAGTTGCCTGACACTAACTTATTTTGTAGGTTTGACATAAAAGGGTCCTGTACAGGAGGATTGTTTTTGTTTTGTTTTTTAAATTTAGTATTTATACTTGATTCATTCCTGGCACTAGGATGTGAGTGCTGTTTTTTTTCCAGTGCAGTTTGATCAAGAAGAGTAAAAGTGTAAAAGCCTTAGTATTATGAGGAGATTAGGGCTACATCATCATGTTTCTGAGAAGTATGAAAGTATTCCCTGGTTAATTTGTTTTTTTTTTTAAGTTATTGATATTTTTAAACACAAAGGTTCCACCTGGCATTAATTCTTTATGTATGAAAGTAGTTTTTAGTATATTTTTGTCCATATATATTTATATCGTTTGAACACTTAGCGCTGACGGTATGTAAGTCTCCGGAGCTCGTGCAGGCAGCCTCACGCAGAATTGGAACATATAGTTCTCAAGAAACCAAAAAAAAAAATTGCTACCCAGATTTTGTTTCCTTTCTTTGTTTTGTTTTGTTTGTTTGTTTTTGTTTTGCTCAATAATTTCCTGTGTGACGTGTGAAATTGCCAAAAAAAAAAAAAAAAGAATTTTAAAGTGTATTTTTATGATACATTTGACTGTTACTTGGTTGATGCTGTAGTCGTAGGGAATTAAACCTGCGTTAACTTATTGTAAGGCGTTTGCATTACTTTATATTCAAGAAATGACGTGAACAACGGTTGTGGTAACGTGGCACATGACGTGGTGGATACTTGCCTTTCTTTTAAGTAACCTTTTCTAATGTTCTTTTAGAGTTGTAGACTGAAAAAAAACTTTTCATTTTATACTATGGCTTATTTTTCCTGGGTAGCAGTGAGTAGTTTTTGGTATATTGTTTTTGTTCACTGTCATAGTTTTTTTTTTTTTTTTTTAATCCTTTTTTAATCAGGTAATACAAATGTTGCTGGGACTGTGTTTTGTAGCAAAGCAAAAAAATAAAAAAAATAAACAAATATAAACCACTTCATCTTTATTTCAATGGTTTCTGAGTGACGTTAAGCAGCGTTTACACTCCTTTGAATTATTTATGTTCTTCTTTGTTGGGCCAATAAATAAATGTACCAACCGTCCGCAGAGTCACTGCACAATGGAAGTTGGCGAGTACTTCATTTAAAAAAAAAAAAGAAGGAACATTTGAATTCCTTATTAAATTTACCTGCTTTAAGCCTTTTCTGGGAAACAACATGGGGAGAATGAAATCTTCAGAAATATGAGTAGAAAGGACGCTGCGTCCTTCACGGCTGGCAGAGGGCGCTCCATAATTCAGCCAACCAGTTGCCATATGGCACAGTACTGTGCTCATCTACTCAGCTGATTATTGTCCACTTAAATTGCAAATTTGTGTCCTATAGGTTGCCAGCAACATAATAGGGGTTGCAAAGAAGGGTTTGTTTATGAGTTGTGGCAGAACACACGGTTTTATGACATGAGCAGAATGGGATCTGGGATAGAATTTCCACACGGTTGCCCTCTGGGTTTTGGTTTCTGAACTGACCATTCCACACGAAGGGGTAGAATCGACAGTAGACAGGAAGGATTATAAAGTTTTTTTGTTTTTAAAGTTTATCCACTAGATGTGGGAATTGGGGCACAGGGAAGGATTCTCACCACCTCGTCTCTAAATCCCATTCCTGGAGTAAAAAATCCTTCCATATTATTTTGTGGTCTGCTGCTGTGGTGTCCTCTGGTGAAGGGACAAACCAAACAGATGCCTCTTTATCCAGAATGATGTGATTTTAATTAATACATGTTGTGAATAAATTATATTGTTGAATATTCTCTTCTTTTTTTGTCCCTTTAAATCATATAAACACATATTTTACATTAGAAAAATCCCACAACCCACCACCAAACAAATATTTCACAAAAAGTATAATTATTGAATTGCAATAATCTGGTTCTAGTCTACTCACAATTGATTTTACATTGATATTGATAGAGCTGCATGAATTGAAGAAAGACACAATTAAAGACATTGCTCTCGATTGAGTGAGTGAGACCTGTGCAAAAATAATTGTATAACCATTAACATGCTCGAATCATAAAGACATGAAAAGGCAGCATTAAAAAAAAAACAAAGCATAAAAATGTATTTTTATTTGTCTGTATTTCCCATTGATCTGCTGTGACTGTACCCCGCCTCATCCCTAGATGGCAGTGTTTGATATTGGATGCGAGATAAACTAATATCCCAAAAGTTACATTTACATGTCTGCAGTTAGCAGTTAGTTAACTAACTTAGTTAACCATTGCAACTACTACTTGTAAAATGACAATGAAGTTTAAAAAAATCGAAAAAAAACCGTTTGTAAAGTTTTGTAAATAATCAAACATCACTCAAACTTATTTTTAAGTAATATTAGGGGGAAATTGCGATCTTAAACTTGTGCATTGAACATATATAACCAGATATTGTAAATATATCGGATCTTATGTGTTTATTAAAAGAAAACTAGTGTGTGAAAATACATTAAATAGAGTGAAAGTAACGTTTTTCTATTGCCAAAACAAATGCTTGGAGTCAACTTGGCAGTAATTCCAGTTTCGTCCACAAAGAGTCGCTGTGGTTCCACAGAAATACAACTACACCATCTTCACTCTGAACGCGTTGTTGTCTCCCCAATCAGTGCACCTGAGTCCAACTGGCCGTCCGCAGCCTCCTGTGCTCGGCTAAGTAGCATTACCATTCGGTCAACGAACTGTTCCCGTCAGTGTTCAAAAGCTGAATGCAACGATTAGAAGGAAATATTTCTTTCTGAGAATTAATACAAAATGAGACATGGCGTGAGTTTGTGGCCTCCCTATCCCCCAGCCCTGGCTACACTTGCCTCCCTGTTTTCCACCCAAATCCCCCCTCGTCCCTCACGGTGCGCAGGCAACTGTTAGCGCAGCGTTTTACGGAGTTTTTCTTTACCGCGGTTTGCAAACGAATAAACTAAAAAGTTTGTCAGCGAACATAAAGTTTTGTGGAGGGAAGTTGAATTCCCGCTGTGGTTGACTGTTTTTGGACTTCACATCGTACAGTTGTTCACTTCCGTTGTCAACAGAAAAACCGCCATTTTCTAACAGGTAAGGCCCCACCCACCTACCGAGTTATTAAAACAGTTCATTCAAGTATGTTTGTAAAATACAAACAAAACAACAAACAACGACACACAGCCAGTTACTCTGGGCGGTTCTAACTTACCGTCTCATTTCTGAAACTATTACTACTAAGCCTGAAACCTTATTAAATATCGCGAAACCATCTTTGATTCTAGTAAATATTTGTTTTACATTAGAACTTCAAATTACATTGTTCAATGATTGTTTGAGAAAACAAACAAACAAAGACACTTAGCTAGTCTGTTAGGGTGGATGGAGGTCGATGTTTGTTTACATCTCGCTTGTAAATAAAATACGTACTTGATAATTATGGATATTTTCTTGATTATTTTTAACTTTATATGTACAGTAAACTACTGGTTTATTTCACATTTCACTATAAACAAGTAAATACAGACTGGAGCTTGTTGTGTGTTGTTGTTTGACTTTTATGTTTGTGTTAATAATAAAAATAGTATATGTCATTTATGGAAAATGCTAGCTTTTTTTGTTGTTGTTTGACTTTTATGTTTGTGTTCTTTAATAATAAAAATAGTCATTTATGGAAAATGCTAGCTTTTTAAAAAGTTAATAACTCAGTTAAACATTTCAAACCACATAGACCAGCAGTACTTTCCCCATCTTGAAGCATACACAAAGGGAAAGACAACATCAGGTATGCAAAAAGCCATGTAGTTCCCGGACGTTGCATCTGGTGTCACAAATTCCTGCACGCTGTACGTGTACCGGGCCGAAGGTAGAGATGGAGGCTCACCCTAGATGCAAATCTGCCTCAAAACTGTTGAAATATGCATTTTTTACTTTAGCCAATCCATGGTTGGTTTATTACCATCAACTTGTTGTTTCACAGAGATGAAGCAGCTTTATGCAGTTTAAATGAGCAGGTAATAGGCCAGCGATATAGAACGCCACCTTCAAGTCACTCTGAAAGACATCTCCCATCTTCACAAACAATTGGAGCTAATGTAGTCTCACGGAGACACACAGCAGAGACTGATGCCCCCCCTCTGCTCCCCCCATCCTTTGCCCCTCTCTTAGTCTGTCTGTCTGTCTGTCTTCAGCAGATACTAATTGTGTGGGGAGGTAAACACAGCAGTCAACTGGAGAGGATGGCGAGTCAAGCGTGAATATCAATCTCACGACATCAGTGTCATCAGGTGACTTTGACGGAGTTGAGACGGGAGCTCATTAGGAAAGTGGAGCTGAGCGTGGGGGGCGGGGGCCAACCAGCATCCTGTCCAAGGACTCTGAAGTGGAGAAGACCTGCAGAGTTTACCAGCTAACAGGTGAGTGTGTGTGTGTCTGGGGGGGACACACAGAGAGAGAGAACGAGAGAGAGAGATGCACAAAAGTGTCTTAAGGTTTAGGGAGGAAATGTCAGCTGGTAGAATCCACTGTATATTTGCAGCTGCAGGCAGGCAGACACATGGAAGCACACGAGTTCAAGGCTATAATAGTATGTGCACATTTTTTTATATTCAAGCAGCTGATCATTATGAAGCAATGCCACCTGTAGTTCTTTGGCTGGCCCGTCAGGAAGTGACAGCAGGAAATGCTGGGGTTTCACAGCGGTGTCAGACCTGGGCGAAAAAAGGAAAACCTGGAAGACTTTTTTTCCTCCTTCCTTCCTTCGTATTTTTGTGATGAGTGTTAAAGAGGAAATGTCACTCCTCTTCGTCTGAGTTCTCATGGATCTCATCACTTTGGCTGGTTGTTATTGATTTTCCCCAGCAAAACAAAAATATATCATAAACCAAACCTTAAAGACATTGGAGTGGAAATCTGTGATTGACATTAAAGTAAAGCACGCCGGGCCTAAAATAATTTGGTTTGATGATCTTTTGTTGGTCATAATGGTTTAAGTGATTGTTTACATTTGACTGCTGGGTAATTAAAATGACAGCGATTGGTGTAAATACAGTCAAATTTGCTAAATTTTTGCGTAATCAAACCTTCAGGATCGGGTTGATCTCTTGTGGGTTTAGAGGAAACAATGTGAACGTAAAGCCCATATATATATATATATACATACATATATTTGTATATATATTTATGTATATATGTATCTATATGTGTTTATATATATATATAATATATATATGTGTATGTTTATATATGTATATGTATATATATATACATATATATGTGTTTTTAAAGTAATTAATAGCTGCACTCCTTGTAAACACAAAAACTCTTAGAATGCTGCAGAGACTTGTCTTATTCATGGCTAAAAGTTTGAAGTTGTGTGAGGTGACTGGAGGAGAGAGAGCACAGTCTGAACCCTGGCCCGGTTCTACTGCATTAAACATCACCCAACATCATCCCACTCTCCATTTTGGGACATGCACAAACATATTATCCCTCACCACTGGCTTCTCTCTCTCCCTCTGGCTCACCCCCCACCCCCCACCCCGCCCCTTTTCTTTTCCCCTCTTACTTTTCTTATGGGGTCCCGTCCCAATCTCCAGTGGCCATGTTCAAAACACTGGGCCAGAATAGCACAGGCCCCAGTCTAGATAAATATTTATGGGGTGCGTTTACTTGCTACCACAGAGGAGTCATTGAAATGGTGTATTTCCAAGGTGAGGAAAAACAAACAACTTCAAAGGAATTCAAATATGGCTCATGTAAATTCAACCCCCCCCCTCTTTCCCCCCCATCCCCATCCCCAAACTGGTTTCTGCAGAGATTATCATTAGACGGTTAATGAAGGAATCACGCCTGACGCGAGATGACCCGATTATTGTCTGTTTGAGAGCTTGGAGGCATCGGTAAATGGAGTAGATATGGTTAATTAAAAATTATGTACACAGTCACGATATTACAGTCGTGGCTCATGGACAGTTTTTAAAACCCTGACCTGTGTGGTATGCATTGATCTGAATTAGACTGCTGATGGACGAGGTGGAAGCTACGCTCTGGGTGAATGACACCACACGGTGGGGGGTGCGTGGGGTGGGGGCTGTAGATCATCAGTGCCCCCCCCCTTCAGGAAGTCATTTATTGTTTCTGCTAATGTGTAACAAACTACTCCGGCTCTCACCCAGACTGCAGCTCCATATTTGACGTCTATTAGCTGCTGTGAAGTCGCTGTACAATTTCCTCCCCGGATTCTGGTTGGTTCACCTGCTCCTCACATGTGCCCCCATCCAACGCAGCCAGGCAGATGTCTAATTATTTGTTAAAGCCGTGGTTCTTCCTGCTCTGGGAGCATGGTGATGACACTGTCTGTCGAGGGAGGGGGGGATCTACAGGAGTGGAAACACAGCCCTTTGATGTGAAAGATAGGATAATTAGCGGAAGTCCAGAATAAAAGTAAATGAGTAAAAGCTGCCGCTGTTATGAGAGGTTTCATGTCATTGGTCTAAATTCAATATTTGCCTGCTTCAGGTAAAGGTGCATATCACATTTATTTTGCTTTGACAGCTTATTATTTTAATTTGATCTGCACAGTGAGTGTAGGTTAGTGGTTCTTAAAGTATGGAGCACGTGGCTATCAGCAGGCAGGGGGCGCAAACAAATGCAATTATTTCAGCTTTTCTTTTACGTGTGTCCTACACCGGGAGAATTGCACTAATTTGTAATTTTATTCAATTTTTTGTGTAAATTATATTGTGTAAAAAGCTTAGTTTGTATTTTTTTTTAGTCTGGTAAAGTTTTGAAAACAGTTTTTGAAAAATGGATTGACATAAAGAGACTCCACTAATGTCCTGTCTACCACAGGGTAGACTCCACTAATGTCCTGTCTACCACAGGGGGGTGCTAAAGATAAAGTTTGTTAACCACTGGTCAGATATTCCAGGCCATATTTGAGGTCACCGGTTAAGGACTGTGGTATTTTCTGGTGTAAAAATGCAGTACTACAAACGTACTGTATCACTGTGGCAACTGTAGATGTGTAGTGGTACTGCCTTTATTGTGTTATGGCAATAACACGAAAAGAGCTTTAATACTGTCTCAACTGGTGCTGGAATGAAACTGTTTTCCTCTCCAGCCAATTTGATTGTTTTTTTTATACCTATTTTTAGCAGAGATGGTCAGACCTGCTGTGGTCATGTGTCTTTAAGACTTTTACTCTTCTGTGATTGGCCACGCTGTCAGTTGACACACTACTTTGCTTATTATTACTAGCTGTTGTGTTTTGTTAGCCTCTCCTAGCTTAGCTGTTAGCTCTGAGAAGTGGTTGTTTTCTCTCTCTCTCAACTTTTACGTTTACATTTCAAGCTTGCTCTAATAGTTGGATAATGCCTAGTATTTTAGCGTTAGCTGCGATTAACTTCTGTTTTGTGTTTATTTGCTTGTCACCTGGCATAAAGTGAACAGTTCATTAACTGCTCATTAATGGATGGTTACTCAGAAAAAAATAAATGAAGCAGTCATGAATGTTATTACAATGTTGCATTAAATATTGTTCACCGAACCGTAAGATTGTGTTATATTTTAAACCAATCAAAGGCCGGAAATAAGCAGTTGTTGCAGAAAATCGTTCAATTGTTTTTGTTGTTGTTGTGGATATTGTTCTCCACAACATTTGAAAAATGTTTCTTGTTGCAGAAAATCGTTCAATTGTTTTTTTTTGTTGTTGTGGATATTGTTCTCCACGACATTTGAAAACTGTTTCTTGATTTTTTTTTGTTGTATTTCTTTTTTTTCTTGGTGCTTCATCTAGAAGTGAGTCTTTTCCTACAAATTCAAACAAATGAATCCAGGTTTTTTTTTTTTTTAGGGAAAGTCTACCTGATGTGTACCGTCTAGGATTGTGTCTTTGTGGAACAATTGTTTTGGACATTTATTTCTTAAATATAATATAAATTAATATTTAGACATTTAACCCAAAAATCCACATCTATAGAGTTCCTTTGTTGTGTTTATGGCCCTGTCGTTGCACTGATCTCAGTTCTTCTAATGGTATGATTTTTTTTTTTTACTGCTCTTCCTGCAGTGAACACAATTGCACTTTGGAGCCAACACGGTGGATCAGATGTTAAAGCAGTGTCTGCGTATAAATAGAGAGAACTCGTGGTCACGGTTATCTGAGTTTCTTTTGTGCGCTCCTACACAGATGTGTCGCTAAGAAGCTTCATCCCAGCCTTCGTAGTGAAGAGATTCCTCAAACGCCTCTCATCACTATTCTGCCTCTTTCCAAGGACACCGTTGTGATTGACGGGCTTAATGTGTATCTTGCCAGAATTGGATTTGATCCTGTGGGCTCTGCCACGGGGGCCTCGATGTTATATTTACACTTTGCCCCGCACTCCTATTTTCTCCTCCCTCTGTCGAACAAACACAAACAGAATTACCTGTTCTGGAGCATCTCCCGCTTGACTGTTTGCTGCATTGTGGTGAGATCATGTTCGGATCTGTATTGCTGAGCGATTGTGCTGAGGTTTGTGTTTTATCCGAAGATGATGGATGTAAATAAAGCAGCTGTGACTGCGAGTTTGTTTTGATTCGTGCGTAGGGTTTTTATGTCTTGGTGTGTGTTGTGGAATCTGGGTCTGTACTTGCAGTGTCTGTTCATGGAGTAGAGGCAACTGCATTGTTATTTATTTACTGCAAACAATTTGTCCCTGTTCGTCTATATGACAGTGACAGGCAGAACAATTGAACTGCCTTCCACTAGGTGGCATTAGATGGCTAAAATAATCATTTTTTTGAAAACGAACCATCAAAGTAGATCTTGGTGTGTGTCTTTCTTCAATTCCTGCAGGTAAATCAAATAAGTGTTGTGTTCAGTCAAACATTTTGTCACTTTTTGTGACACGTTTTATGATTAAATGAGAGGATCTTTAAAATTTCATCACGTATATACTGTGGGGTTTCTCCACTGTATATACGCGGTTTGGCAAACACTGTTCTGATCAACTATTTTTACTGTAGTGCATGTGTCAAATTCAAGGCCTGCGGTCCAAATCTGGCCCCTCACCACATTTTATGTTGCCCGCCAGAACTTAACATTCATGTGGTTGTTTAAAATTAAAAAAAAATTGTATAGTGTTTATATAACACTGTTTACTGGAATGGTCATTGCATTCATCAAATTCTTAATAATAATAATATATGAATGGAGATTACATTTTGTTTATTTGAGGAAAAAAGTTGTTGAGATGCAGTATTTCTGGTGAGAGTATTCTAACCATTACATGTGTGCTGTTCCAGAGTGGAGTATCACTCAGCCGTGCTCTGTGTTGTTAGGCTGTGAAGATGCTGTGAGTGCAGCATCCCCCCATTCCCCCCCCCCCCCATTCTTTCTGTCTTTTAGATAGCTGACTCTTTTCTCCCACCG